CCACACTAACCAAATTTGAATGCCAAATAAAAACCCTCAAGAAAAGTCATTTTTCATTAAAAATTTAGTAGTTTGTTGTTGTTTTGAATTGTATTATATTTTGCAACTGTTTTTTGTTGGCAGAAAAAGCCACTGCAACGGTTTTTCTTATATTTTTCTTTTTTTCTTTTTTTGTTTTCATTTTCCTCTTTTGGGTTGTTCTTCAATTCTGCTGCCAACTTTTTGATTTAATTCATTAAGTCATTTTTTGACCCTCAAGGGAAGCTCAGCAGTGCCCAGTTGGGCACTGCATGTGCGATCTTTTTTTGCCTAATTTTTGTTTGCCTTTACAGGCAGCTCTATAAATGCAAGTTGCAGCAATAGGAACAGTAGTCCTGTTTACTGGTCTTTATTTGAGTCATTTTTTACTCTTTCAGCCGCAACTACTTTTCTCAGCAGGAGAGCGTATGCTTATAAAATGCACTGCCGGTACTTGCCACTTGGTACTTGCACTCATTGCAGTCATTCATATTAGATGAATCATAATTAAAAAACATTCGTTTCAATAGCATCCTGACCGACTGCGTCCTCACTTAACTAGTTTAAAAACTTCATTTTTAGTTGAATTATTTACATTCGCCAATTGCGCTCAAGTGGCACTTGGGACTCAACCGCTGATTGTTTTTCATTGTTTTCTTCCGGTTGTCTTTTCTATTCTTTTTTTATCATTTTTTAATCAAATGTATTTTTTGTGTCGTAAAATTAATTGTTTTCAACGTCCCGGTTTTATAATTTAATTTAATATTTTTATGTTATTTTACTGTGATTTAACTTTTAAAGCATAGTGTAGTTTAATAAACAAACTGTACTCAAAGTATTTGAGCTGAAATATCTGTATATGCAGCACTATTTATGGATTTGCTGTTTTCACACTGTTTGCTTAGTGGCCATTTAGGAGCAATTGTTGTGTAAATTCAACCTGCTCGCCGATACTATTTGATCGATAATACTCAAAATGTCGTCAAAGTTGGCCCGGCGCAGTTTTCCAACTGCTGCCCAGTTGCTTTATTGTTTTAATAAAATTAATACTGTATATATAAATTTACAGTTAGTTAGTTAGCCAACTGCCGATCTACACTGTGGATCTTTTATTAAGGCCATATTGATTTTATGTGTTTATTTAATTTAGTTATTAGATTAGACCATTTGATAAGCCCTCTCACTGGACCAATAGACATTGCTCTATGGTCATTGCTTGGCTGGGGTGCCGTAGAAGTGCACATGCCCACAGCAATGACCATTGACGCTTAATCTTCAGGCAAGTCAATGAACACACAACACAACGCACACAAACAGACTATCTTAGTTTTCTTTCAATGGCAATGGACAGCCAACAAATGAATTTTTTGATTTGCCTCAATGTTCAATTGAACGGCTACATCAAACTGCTCTGAAACTAGTCATAGTAGAAAGTGAGGGGAAAGGTGGAAGAAAAAGAGGAGGAAACGGAACAGCAACAGCATCAAGCGGCATGCTTGCCTTAATTTGTTTCTTAGGTTTCTTTCTGGCTGCATTCTAATTTGGGATGCTTGCTGGCGGCCCGATGGGAATTTGAATTGTGGAATTTTCTGGTTGGCACCCGGCGGGTGCCATCGCTCAACGACGAGCCCCCGCACTGCCAGTGGACAATCTTGCGATCGGTCACCCAGTAAGATTACGGTGCCATATTACATCAGTCGATATTGATTTAAATTGACTTTAATTCTATTAGCACGCTGCCGCTAGTGGCCCATTGCTAGAACGTGTCACTCACTGGCGAGTCGCCTGGTCGCGCCATGTCCATTACTGGCCACTCTGACTCTTGCTGACCAGAGCTTGACAGTGCTCCAGCATAGGACTGCTCACTCTTCACTTCACACAATAGACAGTGCTTTCTTTTTTCTTTTCCTCGCCTGAGACAGTCTCTGTCGCTGCCTCTTTGTGTGTGTGTCTGTGTGTCAATGTGCCAGTGGCAATGTTTCGGGCTGAAACCGTTCCAATTAGGGCTGTCACCCTGTCTTTTGCCATGTCATCTGTGTGGCCAAGTGTCTCTCCGTCTTTTTGCATTTGAATTTAAAGTACTATGTTTTGTTTCAGTCTTTGGTCTTCTTTTTTCAGTTTTCACTCCCCAAACATACATTCAGTTTTCTCTCTTTCTCTCTTTCAAAGGTCGCTGGTCATGTCACTTGGTTTTTCTTGGTTTGTTCTATTTGTTTCTTCACTTCTGAGTTTCGTGTTTTGAATAATTTATCACGCTCCATAATTAGACACATCTAAATTGTTTCAGACATACAAAAGCTTCTGACAGATATTTCTGGACCAGAAAGTAGGACTTGGTTTGTTTTTTGTGTTTGGCAGCAATTTAAATTTTCTGAAACTTTGTTGTTGAGTGTTAAATTATGCGCAAATGCTTCTTGCCATTTTGGCCAGCATTAAAGGTGGCAAACTTACCAATTGAGAGGGAGCAAATCGTTTGCTTTGTTCAATTTGCGGCCCACTAAAAGCTGTGCAGTGAAGCTAAAATTTGCATTTTTAATTAATACCAGGCGCACTGAGGCGTTGGCTTGTGGCCCATTCACTGGTACGCTTGATTTCCCTTAATTATGCTAGCAATTGGAACCATTATCAGGCCTTTATTGGTGATTTGGCTTTTTTATGGCTAGCAACAATCAGAAGCACAGTCCATTTATGCATAACTGGCCTGAAACAATGCTTAGTGGTGGTGGTGGTGGTGGTGGTGGTGGGAGCGTGTTCTGAAACCTTGAACACTGCTTTGTACTGGTATNGGTGATTTGGCTTTTTTATGGCTAGCAACAATCAGAAGCACAGTCCATTTATGCATAACTGGCCTGAAACAATGCTTAGTGGTGGTGGTGGTGGTGGTGGTGGTGGGAGCGTGTTCTGAAACCTTGAACACTGCTTTGTACTGAATTGGCTGTTCAGTGGAAACTACAGTTTAGCGGGAGCAAAAGAAGTGCTTGAGTTGGCAAATCAATACCTAAATGGCTACTGGCGTCCTTCTTCACACGCGACTGAGTAGTGGTAGTGCAGCACTGGTCATTTGGCTGCCTCTCTTCTGTTCTGAAGCACTGCCCACTACTTTTTGGAGACCAGTTCAGTGTGCGGTCGTTGCCTTAGTCATCCCCTGCCCACCCTGAGCCTTTGCACACTTTGTCAACACTGGCTTACCGGGGCCTGACATATTTTGCCTTATGACTTAATCTCGCCATGTTGGCAATAATTGAATTCTTGTCTGGATATATCACTGCCGCCTTTATATGCTCTGTCATTTCCTGCTCTTCACTGTCTCCTTCGCATAACAATAAAAATTTTTTCTAATTTTATTCTGACTTGTCAACGTCTCTTTCGTCTTTTAAAAAGAAAACTTTTGTTGTATCGTTTTTCATTGCTCACTTTTAAGATTGGCCACTCGGTAAATCTTTATCTTTTTTTGACTTGTTAGATTGTTAAATTGTTTCCTGCCTGACTTGAGGAACTTGCCACTGGATTTACTTTTACTGGATTCTAGTAGAATTGTCTATGTAGAAAGCAAACACGTTCTTTTTACAAAATGTTCTTTTGAAGGGGAACCGTTTTTTATAGCATGGTGTTCTATTCGAGTATTTTTTGTAGCCTTTGCTCTGCTACTATGAAATTGTTCATGGCAACTACACTCGCAATCTGTTCATTGAGAGCACTTGAATGGTATGCACCACTACTAGCTTCATCCTAAAGGTGAACTTGAATTGCATACAACTCTATGTTTATTTTTTTGTTTTGTTCTTCTATTCTGTTTCTTTTGGCTGTCTATATTTGAATGAATGATGCAATCTAGTAGTGCATTAATACAGTTAGTTTACTAACAATTACTCTATTGTTCTTATCAGACTAGTTCTACTTACAAAAATTTCTTGCGTATTTTGCTTTGACAGCGTTACATATTTGCAACGATAACCATCTATCGCGTTTTATGTAAATGGCAGTGTTATCTAATAAACTGCCAGTTGCTGCTTTTTTATTTGCTGCGCACAAATGTACTAAATTTGCTTATACTGCTGACTACACATTGACTAACAGGCGGCGTTGTTCAAAGCACTGCACAGAATTGTTGTGTAATTTTCTGATAATAAAGTCAAATTCATTTCTGGCAAAATATGCACAGGCTTTCACTTGACCCTTTTGACGGCAACAGCACTTAAAACTTGATCTCGTGGCGCTACTGCAATGTAGTAGAAAGTTGTAATTAAATTTGCCTACCTTGTAAGGAAACCCTGGCCCGTGTCTTGCCACCGACTTGCCTTTCTTTACTTGCCCGAATCTAAATCATGCAGTGCATTCACTGGCTGCCTACTACTGCCAACTACGCTGTCGTTGTGACTTTTATGGTAGCTCGTTAAGATCACCGGCACTGGATGCTTAGAGTAATGCGAGTCGATGAGAATGAGCGATATGAAATGACTGATGGCCCTAATGAGCGCGCCTACCAAGAAGCTCGGCGTTTGTCTGCAGACAGGAACCAGCCTCGATTGGCTCGATTGGTGGTCAGCACCGTTGGATGGGCCGTTTCCTATGTTTTCTGATTGATGGATCACTACGCCGGTGCAGCTGAGTCACCACAGTGTGCCCACTACCAACAGTGACAGTATCTGCACCGCCACCACAAGTCTCCTTCAACTGCAGTTGCACATTTATACTGTGCCAAGGCTGCCAAGACTCCTCGCTCGGCGTGCTGCGGAAATTAATCAACCCTAATTACGCCCAGTCAAGATTTACACTGCACTGGAGCACTGTGAGCACTGATTAACAGGCCAACTACGCTGAGTGACAATGAAAACGACGACGACGACGAAGATGTGCAGGCGTACATGACCACCTCACTCGATCAATCCTCTCTCACTTTCTCTTTCTCATATATTTTTTTCCTACAAACCTGATTATTGATTTGTCTGCCTTTTCCTTTCTCTTCCTCTTCTTCCCTGCAGGAATCAGCGAATACCAGTCAATTGAGGGTGACTCTGTCAGCTTGCCTTGCAACATCAGTGCTGGCGAATGGAACGAAGCACACATATCACTGGTGGTGTGGTACCGGTCGGGCAACCAGGGCAACCCCATATACTCCATCGATGCTCGCAACTCGCTCACTTCTTCTCGCCACCAAGTCATCGCCGAGCTGAACGGCAGAGCGCGAATGGACTTTAGCAGCAGGCCGCCAGTGCTGCAGATGGACTCGGTGAAGGCAGAGGATGGTGGCGATTACCGCTGTCGTGTTGATTACCGAAAAAATCGAACACAACAATTTCTCATCCATCTCAACGTCTCTGGTAAGTGGCAAGCAATTGGCCAAAAAATGCAAACGCTTAAAAGATTAGGGTGTGTGTTTTTAGGTTGTGGTGCCATTTGGTGAAGTTCAGTTTTTGGCTGACTTAATTGTGTTCTCGAGGCCGTGTTGATGTGTTCTTTGTTTTCTTGATTTATGAGTCAATAGGAGTGCCGCTCCGCTGTGCCCTGAAAAGGAAACAATTGACCAGCAGAGGCATTGTACTAGTGCCAACTGGCACTGGAACTTTCCTTTGGTGCCTTTCAATAAATCAATGCTGCACTTGCCTACGACTAATCAGCGCATTATTACTATTTGGCTTTTTGTTTTGACTTTTACCCTAAATCAAGTTTTTCTTTTTTTCAGCTCAAAACTGTCATTCTTCTCGTGGGCAACTTGCCCGATTAGCAGCACTAGCTTAGTAGAATTTGGCGTCACTTTAATTTGTCCACTGTGTTTACCAAGTTAATGTGTAGCAAAATAGTCAATAACTTTGATTTATTTGAGAAAATCGCAAAGTTTTATAACCTTTTCACTGCTACTATTGTTTTGTTCAGACAAAACTGCCAGGTTTTAATTTTGCCAATATTGTTCTGTTTGTTATTTTTTCAATTTTTAAAACTTTTAAAAATATTTAAAACCCAGGTTGCCTTGTTTCTACTACAATTTTAAAGTAATTTTAGAAAACTTGTATTTTGTCTAAAAACTCGTTTACTGCTCTCAATGTTTGTTGGTTTATAATCGAGCGCAGTTGATCACTGAGCAAGCCTACCAGAGGCATTAGTACGATGACAAATGAAGCGCCAATTAATCATCATTACAGTGAGAAGCTCACATATCTAAGCGCCAATGTCGACATTTGGCACGAGCAATATTCAAACATGCCTGGAATGCTTGCCTCCCGTTCTTTAGTGTCCTGCTTCTGAAACAGAAGAGAAGATTTATTTGGAAGTCATTTGCCAGCAGCAATCAATTAGATGAGCTGTACTAGAGGCTCTCGGTCAGTAGCACTGCGCTGCATGGCACTGCCAGTCTCGATGGACTCGATGGTGCGAACACTTGTAAGTGTGTAAGTGAGTTCGTCCACTGCCATTGACGAGCACAGCCACCATTCGGTAATCGCCACAGTGTGCAAAGTGACACTCAGATGAGGCGTACTATTAGCCACTTCTACACTGCTCATTTATTTGCTTGTCATTTGTTCTCTTTCTCTTTTTCTCTCTCTCACTGTTTTCTCTCAATATCTGCTACGCCAATCTCCAACTGACTCCTTCGCCTACTCACTTTCTTTTTCTCTTTTTCCCTCCTCCAGTGCCACCAAAGGAAGTGATCATCAGAGATCTCGTCGGAAATGTGGTCCAAGGCATGACTGGCGTTCCCTACAACGAGGGAGACAAAGTGTCCTTATTCTGTGATGCAACCGGCGGTAAGTATTCGGTCCTTTCGCTGCTCTTTCATCTCCACCCACAGTGCTAATTGGCACGCTACTGCTGATTTATTAAGCAAATTGAGCTGGGCTCTGTCCTTGTTAATTATAATTTATCACTAAACTTCAAATTACTGCCGTCTTGTTTTTCACAAGTTTTGAATATGCACTGCTACAAATATTACATCAAATATAAATCATTCAATTAATTGATAAATGATTTTCTGCTTGTTTTAATAGCAACAGCGGTTTTTAAAATCACAATTTTGCAAAAACATTAGGCGCCAGCTGAAATGGTTTTCAGACTTGTGGTCCAATTAATCAAATCAAATGGAAATCAATTCAATCTATTGGATTATGCGTTTGTAACCAAATTTTAAAATTGCTATTTAAGCAAAACTTGACATTGCTTTGGTGTGTAACTTTTAGACCTACTCGCCTAGCACTTTTTTTATAGAGAATGCCATTATCTGCTTCAATTTGTCAGTTTATATTTGCCCGATATTGGCCTGATCAATAAATTCCGTTGCCAGGCTTTGCACACTGGTCCAGCATTGAGGTTTTTCTTTTTTTACTCAGGCGCTCAAACCATTATTTGGCTCACATTTCGCTGCGCACGAGCCAATTCTAGGAAGCCTGTGGTACCTCTGTATTCCAGAGTTTTACTTATCATTGCCACATTTAGTGACTGACTCGAAATGATGCTGACTTGCCACCATTTCGGCAGTAAAATATATCCAATTGCAACACTTGCCATTTTCGATATTTTATCAAGCGAAAGAGGCAACAAACACACGCACACACACAACGCCCGTTTGGGTGGCTGGTGCGATAGCAACTCTGACCAAACAAATTGAAGCAATTGCCAGTTTTAAAGAATCTTTTTTATTGCATTTAAATGTTCTTCTAATTCGTCAGTCGTCTGACATTCGATTACTTTACTGGAATTTTCAATTTTTTACTATCATTTTCTATCTTACAAAAAGTTTCAGTCTGATTTAAATTTATTTTTGATTAGTGTTGCTTATACTGCAGTTTCAACTGTGGCAGCCATTTCCTATTGACCTTTAGTTCTGTTTTCTAGAACTGTGGTTGCTGATGAATAGTTTAAAAAATGTCTAACCTACATTTTTTTGCAAATTTTTAAATTTTTTTAATGTTCTAATTATTTCAAGGAAGGTTTTCAAATTTAAATTTGAAAATGGCAAAATTGCTTGTACAGTCGATATTTGCTAACTTAAATTTGAATTACAATTTATTTTGTTCGTGATTGGAATTGAATTGCAAGTGTAAATGCAATGCCCAAATGCATGTCATGCATCACCACCAAACGTAATTATTATCAAACTGCTTGTCGTATCAATTTAATTTGCTTTCTTTCCAATCTCTCGTTCCAACTTTCAGCATTTTTTACTTGTTCATTACTCGGCACTACTTAGTTTTTATTGCCTCAAGCCAGCCAACATTAAACACCCAGATCTTGTGACCATTTCAAAATTGAGCGTTTAGTAAATAATTTAAATAATTAGTGTTTAACGCACAGTGTAGATAATTAACAAGTATATTTAAAGATTTACTTTTAATTGATTAGAACAATATCACTCAAAGTTGTCTAATTTGAGTTTGCCCTAGTTTTTTCGGTCTGCACACGTTTTCAACTGCATGGTTCAAAGAAAACAGTAATTTAATTATCGTGCCAACCAATTTGAATATTGTAATTTTATTCTTCTTTGATTGGTCTAATTGAACTGCTGCCTATTTTCTATTTGGCGTCATAATTGAATTGATTTGGCGCTCTGTGACTGCCCAGACAGCTCAATGGTGCTATTGCGCGCCAACAGTTTCTTCAGTGCTTACTTGCAAACATTTTTTATCTTATAAGCTTCTCATTCTTTTAATTTGATTTCATTTTAGCCAACCAAAGTTGACTTTTTTCATTGCTCACAAATTTTACTTCCGCCATTTTTGCTGGATCGCCAAAAAACTCAATTTAAGTTTCAACCCTTTTGATTCATTAATTGTACTGTTGAATTTCTGTCTTTTTGAGGCGCTCTGTTTTTGGATAATTTTAAATTTATCGATTCGATTCATTTGTGGATATATAATATAATGCATTTCTAGTGTGTTCTAGTTTAGATCTATGTGTGCGTGCTTTGAAAAGGAAAACTTTCCGATACATCTACCGTAGAGTAAAATGAAAGCACGGCCATGTCATTCATTGGCCAGAAGTTGAAGAACACTCAACCGGCAAATCTTTTTGCGGCAAGTTTGACAAGGGCCAATTGAAGTGCACATTAGCGAATATATAGCCAGCATGTGATTTGTCTCATTTACATGGCTGTTGCTCTCTGTTGAATTGCAACCATTGTCTTCCTATTGCTGTTCACTAGCACCGCAAAAGTATCAATGCCAGCGCCAGTGGCTCAACTTTCGCTAGTTGATCACCCGAATGAATCAGTTTCCAATGCACACAGTTGACAAGCCACTTTGCCAGCTTTATTGATGATGTCTGCCGCACTTTCCTCTCCCGACCAATGCTAATTATGACTGCTCGCTCTGTGCTTGATCGGTCCATGTTGCTTTATTTGAATATTTTATTAATAAATAATAATGTAGCATCACATTCATCTACCCGATACTGAACTGATTGCGGCCTGCCCTCGGTGCCATCAATATTTCATAGCATCGCTCTGGCTTTTGTTGCTACAATGTTCATGCTTTCATTGACATTTAATTACCATTGATGTCTTCAATTATTTAGTTGTTTGCTTGGTGACTTTAAAAAAATTATTTTGCGTTTTATAAAAATAAAGTTTTTTTGTATTTTCAAAAACGTCGTTACACGGTGCAATGTTTTTTTCTTGAATAAAAAAACTGATTTATTTACTTGCTTTATTCAGCAAGGTGGCAAGTCTTGTCGTTTTAACAATGTGTGACTACATTTCACAAACATTTATCAAGAACCTACTGTCCGTTGAACTGGCAAATTGACCTATTGAATCTATTATAAACAGTTAGTGTTTTCAAAATTTTATAACAAAAAATAGAAAACAAAATTGTATTGTGCTGTTTCGAGTATTTGTTCACTGCGCTATTGTTGCACTCTTTTGATGATGTCTCTCTTTGTTCACAGGTTCCCCGCCACCAGTGGTGATATGGCGATCCAATGATGGTCGAATCATTGACGAGACGTACGAGAGTCTGGGCGCAGGCACAAATGTTACACGAAACGGCCTTACACTGCCGCGCATTGAGCGAAGTCACCTTCTGCAGGAGATTACTTGCGAAGCATTCCCACCACTGGTCGCCAGTGGACCCTCATCGCCTTCCTCGACGCCTTTGGTGCTCTCCTCGCCGAGACACTCTTCCCTTTCCTTCATACGTCGCTCCTCAGTCGTCCTCGACCTCAACCGTAAGTAGCCGTAGTCTGTGGTCGTCTGCTTGCCTGCTGCACTGCTTCGCCAATTGGCCTTTCCCTTGATTGCCGCTTCGCCGCCCGCATCGCCGCCATTCACTGGGCCTCTTTTTGGTGTCGATCAATTTGTTTACAATTGCGCTGATTAGTTTGTGCTTCACTCTAGGGAAATTTGCTTCGTTTTCTTCTTTCCGTCTTTTCAGCTTTCTTGCAGCTCCAAAGCCTAAGCGTCGCCAGTACAACACTGTCTTCTATTAATAACATCTGAAATAAGAGATATCGCATGATTGATATAGCTTCATTCAGCAGCCGCATTTGCTGTGACTTGTTATGCTGTAATTGGCACTGCACACACTCACTTTTGTACTTCGCATCCTATGCTTTGGTCAAATTTAATTATTTTCTTGAAAGTTTTAAATTAAGCGTAAACGAAGTGTATTGTCAGACACGGCACAAAACGATGACTGCCTCCCTCTGTGCATCTAAAGTGCAGCCTGTTTTAGCACTGTTTTTCTATCTAAGTCGGAAATGATGACTTGATTAATTTTAATTTGGTACTTCACTACATTTCAAAGTGATTCAAGGGGCTTGTAATGTTTTCACCACCCTCTTTGCACACTCAAAACGCAACAAACCGCTCAATAGTCGTCAATAGTTCAAGCTCATTGATTACATTTGCTTTGATTATTTCCATTTTGCGTGTCTACATTTGTGCTTTTCCTTTTTAATCATTGCTTCTTGATCAACAAAGAGAATTTTCTAAACTAATTGGATTTTGAAAAAAACTATACAAATCTAACACTAAAGCCTTTGAAAAACAAAGTAGCAAATTCATCCTGATTTAAAAAGCTTTAAATTAAAGATTTTACTGGACAAACGAGAGTAGTACTAACTAACTTGACTCAAAGTTTCTGGTGCTCGGCAAACAATATTTTTCATGCGTCTATCATTAATCACCAAACCGATCGTTAATGTGTTTGATAGTCATTGGCGTCACAAGTGCGTCGGCATTTTAACTGGTGTCGAGTAGGCGCACTTCTGTTTTCAATTCCATTTATGACTACTTTGTTTGGCTTCTATTTGAAAAGACCATGGTGCCATATGCATTTGCTGCGCTATTCCCGACGCATTTACCATTGACTCACACATTTAGATAAGTTTTTTTCTTTTCCAGCTTTATTGCTTGATCCCTTTCTTCAAATTCAAACTTACTTTTAGTTGGAAAAAGTATTTCGTTTTAAGATGGATACAATGTATGAATATATTTGGCCAATGATTATGATCACGCCAATTTGTCGGCCCATTTTGCTGTGTGCATATTTGGAACATTTGTCGTTTTTGCAGTGTGCATGCATTTCACTAGAACCCAAACGTCTTAACGGGCATCATTGCTACTTTTTTGTTCTGTAGTAATTGCCTGTTGGCATCAGCAGGCACAGTTTTCAGCGTGTTTGGGAGTCTCCTCACAAGTAAGCTTGTAAGTTGGCTAGCACGACTTGATATTGCTTTCACAGTTGACGCTACGGAATCTCCTGAATTAAGTCTTGTCAACAGCTCATTTCGCAGTTTTTGCCAATCGATTCACTTTATAATTTATTCACTCGCCATTTGGTTTGAGCACACCAGCTGCTTGTTAATGTCTTCGTCGCCGCTTGTCACTGCTCCAGACACTCACAGACGACACTCAACGTGTGCAGTCTGATGACGAAGATAGTACTTGCTCCCTGATGATGCACTTTCTCACAGGAAGTGTGCTTCTCTTTTGCGGTTTACTTGACTTTCCCATTAGAAAATTGCTCGACTTCAACTAAATGAATGTAATTTCAATTGGCCTTAATAGAAACCATATTACGGAAAATTGTCAATATTACGAGAAAGTGTGTCTAAAAACTTTTACTTTTTTTCAGTAAGTGGTCAAATAGTAGTTTTTATAAAAAGAATAAACGTGCTCACTACCACTTTCACAGTGTCTGAACACAGTGTATCTGTTTTCATGTGACTGCCCTGTCCTGCACTGACATCAATGTTTGTTAAACTAATTTGCAATTTAATAGAATGGCTCCCGTTTTTTGTGAGCCATTTGAAGAGATGATTTTGATAATACTTTTTACGGTGAAGTTTCCAATTATAATGGAAATTAACTGATTACTCACAGTACGACAAGTACTGGTGTGTGCCAGTCCACAGTGACAGTGCTTGCCAATGCTTTAACATTTCAGTTTTAAAGTTAGCAGCATTGATTGGATGTGTTCAATCAGTCAAACATAGACGCAGTTTTTTTGGTAGCCAGCATTAAACTTTTTACCGACTTGACCGATCCAATCTACTGCTATATTGCTATATTTCACTATATAAAATTATTTAGTTTTTGATATTTTTCCTAGCTTAGTTGATACAAAATTTAATTTTTATTTTTTTTAATATTTTAATTTAAATCAAGTTTTTGTCAGTTTTCTAGAGGATAGCTACAGTTTAAAAAGTTTTGACTTTTTTATTTAATCAGTTTTTAGTAACTTTGTATAAAAAATAATGAAACTAATGTCTATAAGCGTTTGATAAGTCAAACTTGCTTACATTTTCTAACTCGTCATTTTACTTTGTGGTGACATTTTTTGTTAAATGTAAAAACAGAAACCCAAATGCTCACGTTTAATCTTGTTGTCTAGGGCATCTTTTAATGTTTTGTTGCCGGACAACCATTTTGTTAGTTATTTGTTTTTTTATTCAGTTTTTATGAAAATAAATGTTCGATAATGACCGTTTGCATGCAGAGAATCGATGATTGTTATTAATTGTGTGTCTTTATCAAATGCGTCAGTATGTATGGTTCTGGTTCCGTTGTTTCCGCGCAGTTCTCTTTGACTTGACTTGCTGCAGCTGATGTTTCTTTTGTGGATTGTGTTCCGTACTGTTTGATGCCGCAACTGCATGTGTAATCTAATTGCAGAGCAGCACTGTTGTTAATAGAGCGAACAATTACAGTCATAAACAAATAATAACCGGTCAAGCAGACAAATGAATTGTTGCCGAACAGATTAATTAATTATGAACATCGAACAGACATCATCTCGCTAATAGATATGTCTCATTCAATTTGTGTTCTCTGATGGCATAATTAGTTAAATGTACCATTCGTGGCTGGCAGTCGCTGGCGCCGAGGCGTCTCGTTCCGCTGGGCCCTCTGCGTTCCCACTCTTTCTCCCGCTCATTGTCTTTACTGTCGAGCCGTAGTGTTCACTAACTCAGCCTCTCCCTCACCCCTTCTTTCTCCTTGAGAGCTGGCCATTGTTGCTAATCTGCCTTATTGCCTGCCGACTATTCCCTTCCTGGCTCGTTATCTGCAGTGTAGCACAAGAGTGCCATTTGTAATGGCAGTCATCATTTACACATCTAGCCGGACGTAGGCTGATACGAGCTGCAGTGCTAAATTCTTCCACTCGTTCCCATTGATTGCTTATGACTGAAAGTGACAGTGGGCACTTTGTGACTCTCCATTTTGCGCTCGTATACTCCCTCTATTGTCCTTTTTGCTGAGACGTCGCCATTGAGGCCACTGAATTACCGTTGGCCGGCTATGCTGCTTAGCCATTCCGCCAAATAAACATTTAAATGCTTTGTACAACTGTGAAATGGCTATGTGCCTTGCTTGTTGTGGTGGACGGCATCAAGATCAATATCATCTTGTTTTCTCATTTGCAACCAAATTTGCGAGTTGAATTTTAATTTGTAATTATCGTATTACATTATGACCGTTGATGAATTAATTTTTCTTTTCTTTCTTTCTGTAGTGAAACCGCTGGTCGTTCAAGTTCAAGTGCCCAACTCAGCTTCATCAAACAATTCTAGTCGCTCTCAAGCGAGCAGCTCCTTCACACATTCCACTTCACTTCAGCCTACAAGCTCACGCCTTTTAGTAGTCTCGGCTGGTCGGAAAACAGACATCATTTGCAGAAGTTGGGGATCGAGGCCACCAGCTGAAATTACCTTCTGGAAAAACTCTCGGCGCTTACCAACGTGTAAGTTATCAGAAAGACGACTAATACTATCTGCATTACCTTCAATAATCTTCTGAGCTATGTTCAACTAAATGCCACTTACTTCTTTCTGTTACCCTAGCTGCCTCTCGTTCTCATTACACAAGCTCGCAGGAGTCTGAAGGCGCTGTTTCACCAAATGATGCAACCAATTTGACCGTCTCCGTTCTAAGCTACACGGCCGCTCCTGAAGACGACGGCGTGCGGCTGACCTGTCGGGCAGACAATCTTCAGCTGAGCAACGAAGAGCTAGAAGACTCGGTAACCATTTCCGTCCGATGTAAGTGTCTCACTATTTGCACAGGGCAGACATTAACTGCCTGGACACTGTTCAGGTGTGGCTCAGTCTTTAAGCAGTGGCGGTGGGCGCCATTGAGGTAAATGGCCGGCGAGAGAGTAGTGCTATCTGCACGCTCTTTACATTGTTTCTATTTAAATATAAATGTGCACCGGGATTAGATGGGCAACCCACCGGCCGTCATAGCTTCCTGGGTGCTGGGCTGTGCCAAAATGTCCTCTGCACTGCACTGCACTCTGACAATTCGTCATAAGCTTCAGTTTCTTTTTATTGTCTCTTTATTGCCATATTTCTTAATTAAGTCTAAACCAAGTTTAGGCTCAATCCCGGTTTTGCCATGCGAAGCACACACACACACACACACATGCAGACGGCATTCATATGTTAGTTTCAGAAAGTTGATGTAGTCTCTTCAGCAGCACTTGCCTGCCAAACATCTTTTCAGCTAGAATTGTCTGCCTAATTTTCCGCTTTATTGCCGGCAGCCGGACCCAGTGTTCCAATAAATTTTAATGCCACAGTCTTTTAATTCAATTTTACTTAATTTTGCTTTAGCTTTTTCCAAGTATACTTTTTTATTTTTTGTAGTTGCTTTTTGTTAGAGTTTTGCCTAGCGTTTTATTATTTATCTGCTTTATCTGCTAAAATCACACAGTACAAGGGAATTTATTTTTCTTACCACTTAAATAACTGGTGTTTACGTTTTGTTTTCATTGTTCCGCTTAGCAAATCAGGCTCATCCTTCTCTCTCTTCGTTTTTGTCCTGACTCGGCAACACTTGCCACTTTTGCACTTACTTAGACGGTGATTTCTCTCGCTCAACCACCGCTTGACTGTTCATACTTGCGTTGTACATACTGTTTTCAGTGTAGTAAAGACACACAAGAAAACAGGACTTTTGACGTAGCTGTACCGTCCGGCATTGCATCCTCACGAGTGGCGAGCAATATTTCATCGTTAATACAGCCAATTGTCCCGATGTCAGTTTGCTTGTTTTCCTGCTAAATGATGCATGCACCAAAAGGATCCAAATTAATCGGACACGCCGAGCGAACACCGTCGTCGTCAGAGTGACCACCGTCGGCGAAGAAAGAGGCTGCCGATGCTGCAAATTTGCATACGTTGGCAGTGGTGAGCCGTGCGTGTCTACTGGTGCTGACCATTTGCATGTGTCCCAATCAATCACCATTGCCTGCGCTTTTAGTTCCTTCTCTTTCTCTCTTTTCCCCTCTCACTCTCTGCCGTCTGAACACTGCTTCGCCGATCGGCAATTGTTTCGCTCAGATAAATTGCCATTACAGTGTGCATCAGCAACTGCACNTTCTCTCTTTTCCCCTCTCACTCTCTGCCGTCTGAACACTGCTTCGCCGATCGGCAATTGTTTCGCTCAGATAAATTGCCATTACAGTGTGCATCAGCGACTGCACCAGCAGCAGCAGCAGCAATAAGAGCAGCACCAACTGAGTGGACCAGTTCAGCATCTCAGCACAATTTGTACTCTTTTGGCACGGCCACCGGCAACCGGGGCTGCCAATGCCATCTGCGAGTAGTCATTTGTTTGCATTTCTATTTACCATTTTGAGCACTACTATTGTTTTTCACTTTTTCCGGGAACAATTTAATCTATTTTTAAATTTAATTTCTTGTACTTTCACCATGTAGCGGATCGTTCTTAATTTTGATTTATAAATCCTCTTTGAAGCATCATTTATTATTAATAGTCTTAATTTTACTGTTGTTTTACTGAATTCATTAATTGACCCGTCTTTTCGACTGTAAAAGACAATTATTTTCTCTTTTCCGACACTGCATTATTTATTAGTCGAGGTCAAATTAATTGGAGCAGTCTAGGTTGTAGTGTTGTGATTGCAAACTGGCCAATCAGTTGACTTTTCCAATAAATCGTGCTATTGAAATTTTGTTTCTCAGCCCAAAACTGCTTACCATCTTCAGTGCACAAACTCCTCATGCTGGCTGTTATCTGCGATTTTACAGTTCATTTAGCTATCTCTTGTCGATTGCTTGTCCCGGTTTGCAGACTGCAAATACTCTTTTTTTTCTACGTGGTTCAATGGTATATCTATCACTAGGAAATGTGTTCAACTGCGACAGATTACATTTGTCCTCTCTTGGTGAACCATCAATAATCTCCATTGCCCGACTCGGTGGGTCACGCAGCAGTAGCGGCAGTCTGAGCAATCTAATGGAGGCGTCCAGTGAAGAGCAATGCATTTTACATGTGCATTTTACTTGTGAACTCTGCTTTACATTATCACCACGATGCTCTTTTTCATTAATCAATTAATTGCCATTGCTGCCGCCACAAGTCCGATTGAATGGCCTTTATCCTCCTCTATTCGCTGGGCGATGCACTGCAAAAAGTTCATTTATTATCTTTGTCTCTGTCTGCTACTGCTTCTGGTCGTGCTGGTGGTCACTTCACAGCATAATTAATTGAATGCATTGTCGTCCTTTCTTCGCTCTTTCTTATCTAGTGTCATATTGCACAGCAAGCCAGTCAGCACTGTGCACACACACACACAGTGTGTTCACTGTTCCACTGGGCATTAGCAGTGTTTTGCCGCTTCTGTTAATCGTATTCTTGGCACCTCGATTCCGGCAGTGAGGATGCTGCTTTTAATTTGATTTCTTGGCACCTACCAGCAGTTCGTTTCTAGTGCCTTTTCCCGTTGTTGTCGTCGTCATCGTCGTTTTTGTCTATAGTCTGAAGTCCAACACACTAAAGTCTGTGTTTGCTGGCCATGTCCACTTGTCATGTTGCTGCAAAGACCATTACGATGTCGACTGAGCTTGTCGATGCAGACCAAACAACAATGTCAGTGCCCTGTTCTCTTGTTCCCCTCTCTAGTACTACATGACACTCTTCTTTGTACGGCACTTCATTTGGTCGACATGCTTTTGCATTAATATTCAATTAATCAATCGATTCCAATGCTTTCTTGGCTCGTCTTCTATAGCCTTTATACCACAAATGTGTGCACAAGTAATATTGCACTGGTAGTCGTTTTCTTTCGTATTAGGTTGCTGATTTTTTGAAGACAAGAGGGAAAAAGTGTCTCCAGTTGTGTCGCCATCGACAAATCACTTTTTAATTTGCATTTTCATGTATTCATATGAGTTTTCCTACTCCTCTTTTTTCTCCTTAACAGATGCACCCCAACTTACTCTTTCTTTAGGGGCGAAAATTCCTGAAACAATGCGTGAAGGCTCTGACGTTTACTTTGAGTGCCTGGTGCATGCTAATCCACCGCTAACAGAAGTCGTGTGGCTCTTTGAAGGCCGTCCATTGGTGAACAATCCACTTGCTGGAATACTGGTCACCAATCTCTCTCTGGTGATGCAGTCCATTCGACGTGAACACCGAGGGCACTACCAGTGCATAGCATCCAACTTGGAGGGTGTTTCAGCGTCCAACAAAGTCTTCCTCAACGTCCTCTTTGCACCCGTTTGCAGGCCAGGACAGACAATCATCTACGGGGTGGCTCGCACCGAGCAGGTGCTCATTCCCTGTGAAGTAGAAGCCGAACCAGTGACGCCAATCAACTTTCGCTGGTTCTTCAACAACTCACTGGAAAGTTACGAACTACAGAAGAGTGACTTTACAGTGGAGCTGCTCAAAACTCCGCCGTCAGGCTTAGCCTCTGAACACGGCAAAACACTGTACTCAAGCTCAACACTACTTAGTCAGCTGTCGCTGGAGAGCGTCCTCAGCGGCCTAGTGGGCAACGCTTTAAACGGTCCCAGCGTGGCTCGAAGCAATGCCACTTACTCGCCTCGAAGTCGTCTTGGCTATGGAACGCTCTTCTGTCTGGCGGAGAACTCCATTGGCGTACAACGCGACCCTTGCGCATTCAACATCGTCGAAGCCGGTAAGTTTGCTGCTTCTGCTTCAGTAAAACACCCCATAATTAGCTTGCCTTAAAGTGAGCTTTGCCAGAATAACACCCCACTTCCTTACCGCTAATCTCCAGAAACGAGACAGAGAACGTATCAGGTACTACTCTCCATTTCTCCTTTTGTCTCAGTTGGCCGTGATTGCCCACTGATCTGGGTAGTATTACTTGCTATTTATTATTGGAAATTTATGCTTACTTGAGTTTTCTGTTCTCCGTCGTCAGTATTCATTAGCACCAGCAAATAGCAGTTCAGCAGTGCGGCAGCAGCAGCAGCCTCGTCGCCTGTCAGACTACCGCAGGAAGTGTGGCAAATTTAAAAGTGCCTAATCTGCTTAGCAAATAGCGACCAATCAGACCGACTACGATTGGGTTTAGCGTGCGGTTCGCCAGTGGATGCTATTTATCTACCAGTTTAGTTCACTTTATGGACTCATTCTCACTTTGTCAGCCAATTATTGTTTCTACTTTTCTCAGCAATCTCTCTTTGTGTTTGATCAAAACTGTTGACACAGCAAAACTGAGCTATATCGCGGCACAGTTAGAGGTTAGAGAGAGGGAGAAAGAGTAGTGATGATACCAGTCTCACTGCCTGACTAACCCTAAACTACGACTGGCACATTCTTCTTCTTCTCCACTTCTCATGGATAACTCATTGGCCAATCTGACCAGTGTGCGACTGACCATCGGGCAGCTGCACAAAAAGTACACAGCTCGTGCTGCAGAACACACATTCAATCTGGACATCAATCAAAATGTAAAATGCACCATTTTAATATTTCCCCTCTGTGCAAGAAGCTTCTTTGTGTCTGATTTATTTTGCCAATTTAGCAAAACAAACAATGAATCGAGTTTGAGAGAGTGGACACAGGCATCCATTAAGTGGCTAAGATTGTTTCCCTGTTCACAATGTCCGTTTGGGGCGCAGTTTCAGTCTGGTTCTGGACGCTCCTGCCCTCCTCCCAGCACTGATTCCCTGATTCTCTCCGGCTGGCACAGTTTGCGAGGAAAGCACTGAAGCACTGGAGAGCTGTTGTGCAGTGCAGCGCCGGCAAAACTGCCGCTGCCTGCACTGCACGGCGGCTGTAGCCCGAGTTGGGTAGGCAATCAGATCCGCATGGGAAATATTTCTGCTGTCGGGCAATTTCTGTTGGTGCAGACAGTACCCGAGCCTTCCCCTCCGCCTGCTTCTTTCCCTTCTCTTTCTCTGAACTGTGATGAGATGCTGGCGCTCCTTTTCCGCTCCTCTCGAGCAGTGTTGTTTGTTCAGCTCATTAGGTTCAGTCAAGTTTAAAGCAAGCAGTACGTGGTGCCACTAACTTATCGCAATTTAATATCCAGTTCCAGTGAGTGATGCACTGTTTGCGGCAATGGACTCGCCACTGCCACCACTGCCACCATCGCCGCCAAACGCATCAGCCAGTGCAGCCGCAGCCATTTGCCTCTTCTTGTCTATCGTCGCTTTCTCTTTCTCTATCTTTCAGTCTATGTGTACCTAAGCCAAAAGGTACAATCCTATTAGTGGACAACCACTACCACCACCACCACCACCACGGCCACCACAGCCCGCAGCCGCGCCGGTGGTTAGTTGGCAGTGTTGCACTTTTTCTTTTCCTTTTCGACTCCACCTCTCGTCCTCCTCTTCCTCATCTTCTTTTTTCTGTCATCATTTGCTGGTGGTACAATTCGATTGACCACTTGGAGCATTCGCATTCGTTGCAGTTCAGTTCGTGACTTTCACTCTGTTGCGTGTTGTCGGTCTGTCTGCCACAACGTCTACTATTTGTCTTTGCTCTGTTCAACTTAACTTGGAACGGTTTTTGCTGGAAGCACTTGCAGGCTGGCCAATAGGCTTGCATCTATGTAAATAGGCAAACCAAAGTGGCTTAATTTGATTTGTGCTGCCACACAAACCAAAACCCAATTCCTCGCCATCGAGTGCTTCTGAACCTTTTCTCCTTGTCCTCCTTCTCTGCTACTTCTTTTTGGCCTTTGTTAGTGCGCTCAAGACTGTGTTTTTGCCAAGATTTATGGCCCCTATGTTTGTCACTTATTTACCTATTGGAACGAACCTATCTGCTGCGTCAATATTTTTCACCACTATTGCACTTTTTGCTTTTACATCGTGTACATTTTTCTTCACATTTTACCAGTTCGGTCGGGCACCGTGAATGCTGCTCGAATCTGGAACGCTTCTAGTTGAGGGATTAGCCATTTCTTTCAGCGGGCTTTTTCTCGTCGGCGCCTTCAAGCTCTCATATTTTACATTGTTATCTGACGGCACCGTGTGTGCCTGCTTGTGTGCGTCTGCGGAGCAGCATATTTAATAGACTCGAGGTTACCGATCATATATCACCGTAACAAGATTGGCCAATTGTTTTACATGCTTTCCTGCAGTCTGCGAGGCAGCAGTTCCTCCTTACATGATGCTACTGTTGTTGTTGTTGCTGCTTCTGTGACCACCATCACCAGAAATGACTAGCTGGTTGGCTGGGTAGATGGTTGGAGGGCAAAGTAGGCACCGATTACGGCGTTAATGGCTAATTTGATTGATTCTATTAGGTGCCAGTGGCAAGTGGCAAAGCGTCGGCTCGCATTCTGCGCCCCTGGACGCGTGCCAGTTTTTTACCGACCCTGGCCTTTTACATGCACACACACACAGTCGTCAGAAAACCAGTCATTACCGGGCAATCGATCGACTAATGTATGCATTGATTTTGTGTTCCATTCCTAGTCACTTTCCTTTCTCCATCTTTCTCTCTTCTTTCTTTTTCTTATCCTCTTCTCTCGNCGACCCTGGCCTTTTACATGCACACACACACAGTCGTCAGAAAACCAGTCATTACCGGGCAATCGATCGACTAATGTATGCATTGATTTTGTGTCCCATTCCTAGTCACTTTCCTTTCTCCATCTTTCTCTTTTCTTATCCTCTTCTCTCCNATGCATTGATTTTGTGTTCCATTCCTAGTCACTTTCCTTTCTCCATCTTTCTCTCTTCTTTCTTTTTCTTATCCTCTTCTCTCGGGCTCACTTTTGTTTCCTCTTTCCTGGCCAGCGTGTCACTGAAGCGGTCCCAGTGAAAGGCGTGAATTGCAAAATCAATACTGTTAGGCTTGCCTCTAATGTCTCACTATTGAAGTTGTCTATTTTCATAAAAATTTAAAAATTTTCCCAACAAACGAACAATAAAAAATCATTGCCTTCTCTGCTGTGTGGCACTGACAACCATTTTGAGTTCTGCTGATGCTGTGCCTGGGCTGCACAGTGCACTGGCACACTCCTTCGTTCGGCCGAGTGGAAAGCCACCACGGCGGACACCGCCAACAACTGCCACCAATTGCCACTGTCTTTTGTCCAATTCCTTCGCTCCACTGCCGCTCTGTGGGCTTGCTTTCTCCACCCCGAGCATTGCTTTTGTGGTCATATCGTCTTCAATTCACTGCACTGCTTTTTTGCCGGCACACTGCTGGTCTGCTTTCGTTTTCTCTTTTGTTGTAATTGCCTCATTCTTTTCTTGGCCCTTCTTAAATTGTTTTTGCTTGTTTGTGCCTAAGCCTTATCGGGTATATCCATGAGACACTTTTAGTCTCCCTTTTTACCCCACTGTTCGATGCGCAGACAAGCATTAGTGGAGACGCACTTGGGTGTTGAAAGGCTTAGGCAGCTACCAGCGCCCGGTCATCATTGCCTGCTGGCATCTCATCTGATCCAACCGGCACTATCTACTTTTCGCATCTTTTGCCATGCTACTAATCACTGCTCACGAGTGCCATTATCGTAATCAGCATTATCGGTTGCAATTACGATTACCCCGTGCACTGTGCCTGCTATTTGGAGGGGCCTGTTTTGCATGGCGAATGCCAGGTCACCAGCTCTTGCTTACTGTGAGGATTCAGAAAGCCACCAGCAACTTCTACTGGCGGCAATGACCTGTTTCGCCCAAACAGTGTTTGACTTTTGCGATGCCATTAGCGTTGCTCTCTCATTGGCGTTGTTTGCATTTGCGGACTTTTATTAGTCTGCCTTGATTGCCACCTAAAGAAAAGAAGTCATCAGTGTTGTGAACTACAACTGCTGGCCTGAACTGCGGTGGCTCTTACTAGATCTTACCGGGCAGCTAGGCTACGGCTGCCAGCAGTGAAGTGGCCAGGAAACGGTGGTGCGTATCCACGCTCGCCCACCACTTGGATGCATTAAGTGTGCCATTATTATTGAGCATAATTCCAATAATAGCACAGTCATCAGGCCGCTCGTCACAGTCATTTCCATTCGCTGCAGCTCGTTACCGCACGGAGATGTGATAATGAAAACTTGCAGTGGAAGTTGCCCGAGTGAGTTTGAATACTTTTTCTCTTCCCCTTCTATTAGCTCCCAATCAGGCACAGCAAGTGAAGTTGCACAGCACTGGGTGATGTGACTGTTCCAATAAATAGTCATGTACTTGCTGATTTTAAATGTTTAGACTGTGGAGTTTTTGGGTTGGAGAATTGGTGTTTTTCATTGTCAAACTCAAAGGCTCAGGAGGACTACTCGGTTTCCCCTACAGTTGCTAGCAATGATTGCCTCTTCCATCTCTACTAGACGAGATAATCTGCTTTTTATTAATAACTGACAGTTGATGTAGGCAGTTTTTTGGTTTGTGTCATAAGTATATCAGTTTTTTTCAANGATGTGACTGTTCCAATAAATAGTCATGTACTTGCTGATTTTAAATGTTTAGACTGTGGAGTTTTTGGGTTGGAGAATTGGTGTTTTTCATTGTCAAACTCAAAGGCTCAGGAGGACTACTCGGTTTCCCCTACAGTTGCTAGCAATGATTGCCTCTTCCATCTCTACTAGACGAGATAATCTGCTTTTTATTAATAACTGACAGTTGATGTAGGCAGTTTTTTGGTTTGTGTCATAAGTATATCAGTTTTTTTCAAAAAAAAAGTTTATTGAAACTGTCTAAGACTAAATACCTCAACAACTAAAAACGGTCACAATAATATTGTTCATTAGTAGGGAACTACTACTCGTCCTGTATCGAGCATACGATTTAACATTTAATCGAGTGATTATTAATATTTATTGCTGTCGTGATTGGCTGTGATCTGGGAATAATCTCGTTTTCTGTTCACTCAGTGTCTGTTAGACTCATTGTTTCTCCTTGTTCCGTTATTGATAGCAGCTGTCATCTGACCAGTCAATGGACCGTCATCCTTACCGCATACTGTGTTCGTTCTTTTGGTCAGATGACCTTTGTCCGTTTCTCACTCGCTTTATGCCACCATCACTCCCTCCCTCATTCCCTGCCTTCGTTCTGCCCCTCTGCAAGTCTTGCAACATCTCTGCAACCTTGTCTTTGCCACTGAGCCATTTGCGCGTTGCTTCCAAAATCACAAGTGACATCACAAACACAGAAAAAGAGAGTAATTTGTAGTTGCAGTACTGCTGCAGTATCTAGTCGCACTGTTCAGACCATTGTGTTTGGTGGTGATGGTGATGGTGGTCGTGTGTGCCGTATTCGATTACAGTGCACTTTGTGCCTAATGATATGCTTCTGGGTGCTTCTCACTGTGGCAAAGTCAATTCTGGAGAATCGAATTTTAATTCATGCCATTTGTCTCCGTTCACCCCCACTGGGTGCGCTCCATTGTCTCATTCCACTGTCCACTGGTCGATGCTTTTTCCTCAGCTGACAGACTTATTATTTGTAATTATCTTTGTGGACGATTTGTGGCCAACAGATATTTATGGGCACTTGAAGCTGAAGGGATATTCATTTATAAAGGAGTTGGTAACACTCCCTACTTTGAGTTGCAAATTACGCGATTTTGTTTACGGCGCCAGACTTTGTTGACGCATCGTTTGCTGAAAAAAATGTTTTGAGTTTTAAAAAAAATTTGCAAACTTTTAGCTCAAAGTTTTTACTTTTTGACGCCACACAAGGTGATTGCAATAAATGCAAGTTTTTTCATTCATGTGTTCTCTAGTTAAGGTGCCAATTTAATTAAATTTAAAATCAGCAAGAACGTAGTACTTCTGTTGTTTTGACTGTTTGTTGAGGCCATTAATTGGATTAGCATTTCACAGGCAGCCCTGCATCGGTGTAGTTTGCTCGGGTGAGAAAAGACGACTTGCTCGCATTTTGAAGCAGCAATGGCCGTGCACTTTGAGACTAGTGCGTCACAATGAGTTCCGCATGTCTGCTCGACACAGCCTCAGCTATCCTGTTCTCGATCCCTTTGCCTGCCCTCTTCAGCTGCTTGTCATTTGCATTCCTTCTTCTGTGCTTCCTAACAAACTTGTGATTTGTGTTCATTCTAATTGGCTACTGTCGGAGGATGCGGGTTTCGTAGCTTTGGCCCATTGAGCCTTCGTCTTTCTTTGCAGGCCAAGGTGGAGCAGAGTGAGGGTAGTGCAGATGAATGTGTGATAATTGCCATTGTGCATCGAGCACGTACCGCTAATGAATTAATTTGCTCCTTTGTGCATTGCAAATTACAGTCGTCTTTGTGCACAGCAGCTGAGATGGAGCAATTGTCTGCGGGCTGATAAGAGATCCGTTTGCACTGGCACATGCAGTCTTAGCAATGTATCCGTGACGAATAATTGAAATTTACCGCTCATCTGCTTAAAAAGAAAAACTTTTTTTCTGCCTACTACCACAACTGTCGCACATGCAGCTTACAGTCTGATAGTAATCCAAATGAGGGACTAATTCAATTGTAGGTTTTTTCCAGTGGTGATACTAAAAAAGAAAGAGATTTAACTACGGGAAATGCAGTGCAGTGAAGGCTGTGCAACGCACCACTAGAGCGCGAGATGTAATTACATTTTTTACAGTAAATTTAAAGTACCCTATTCAATGCACTTTTGCAACTTACTATCTACTCAATCTACTAGTTTCTTTGTTGCTAATTACCGGGCAGCAAAAAAGAGCATCATAAAAGTAACTTGTTTATCCTCTGCTCACCAATCTAGTCATGCGTGCGTTCAACTGTTTATCTTACCTACAAGCTTCAATGTCAATTAAAAAACAAAAAGTGGATGTTTCATAATCGATTTTGCTTTCGTTACATGCTGGTTTAAATATAATTGTCTAATTTTTTACTTTTTTGCCATCACAACAGGCCCGCCAAATTCAGTTCACGACTGTCTCATAGTCAACGTGACGATGACATCGTAAGTTTTTGTTGTCAATAAAATAAACAAAGTTTTTTAACTTTTAAAATATGTATTTAATTACAGTTTTGTGCTCAAATGCATTCCTGGAGAAAACGGTGGTTTAAGGCAAATATTCCATCTTGAGGTGTACAACATTGGTAAGTGATTGTTGTGTAAATCTTTATGTTTTGCATTTTTACAATTTTTATGTTTATTTACTCTGCAGAGAAAGAACATCTTCAAGTAAACGTTACCTCGCTTGAAGCACCCATCTTTACAGTGGAAAATTTGCCTCACAACACTGCTTTTACTTTAAATGCATTCAGCTCCAATGCCAAAGGACGTAGTGATTCGGTCACTCTTCGGACGGCGACCACTGCTCATGCCGAGAAGCATACCACCAACGGAAAAAGTAAGTGAAAAAAATGCGTTTTGCACTTTGTACCCGCGAGGTTAATTTATTTGGATGTCTGCTGAGAGTGTCAACGAGTCTTCAAGTTGCGCTTTGTGTTACAGCTGAGTTTTGTCTGCAGAGCTTATGGCTCGGGCATCCTTTTTAATCTAGCCAAATTAACTAGCTTCTTTGTGTTTATATTTCTTTGCCAACGTCATCATCATATCTCAGCCTCATAAACACACACACCCAACTAACCAGCTAGGCACATTTACACGACCCTATTCAGTGAATCAGTGAGCCCTTGAAGCAAGTTTTATAATCTTAAAACAAAGCCCTTCTGCCTTGTCAATGGCACGAGTGACAGTTTTAAATCTGCAGGGCTTAATTAGTGCAGACCTCGAATTTATTTTGTTACTTTGTGTTCAGATTCTTTTGTTTTCTGCGTTTGCCGCAGTCTTGGCCACCCATTGATGCTGTAGCCTGGCTTAGCTTGCAGAGGCACACATCAAACCAAGGCTGGAGTTTAACGCAAATTTGTAAATGCACATATATTTTTTGTTTCATTTTGAAATGCATTGTTCAATTGAGCAGTGCACTTGGGCGTAACTGTCGTGACTATCTTTAGTTTTTAGATTTGTATACATTATACCTTTATAAATTATTATAACACGGATAGAGTTGCTTACTATTTTTTCACTTAATTAGTTTTTTGGTATAAAAAAGAATCTCTTTTTTAATTAAAACTCATACTGAAAGTAAATAACCTGATTTAATTTAATATTGTCGTTTTTGTTCCAGGGTTCTATTTATTTATATTTGTGCTTTGTTCATCAACAGAAACCACTACTCGGTGATAGTATTGAGACTATTTTTGTCTAGTGGTTAATTTAGCACTGATGAACAAACAACTTTGGAAATATTTGCAATCTCAAATTAAGCGTATTACCATTTCATTTCATTAATTTATCTGCACTTTTGTTTTGCCAATCTTATTTACATTTTATTAGACGCAAACTCTTTTCTGGTATTTGCCGTCATCAAAAAGTTCATTTTGATGCTTTTTGTAGCAGACACATTCAAATGAAATGGCGCTCTAAAGAGCAGACCACTTAAACGGAAAAATATCAGAGNACATTCAAATGAAATGACGCTCTAAAGAGCAGACCACTTAAACTGAAAAATATCAGATTATTTCACTGAATACTTTCCCTACATTGCATTTAAATTAATTAATTTATATAAAGTTTAATGTTTAAAAATTAATTTGCAAATTAATTCAACTACAAATTGGCTAAAATAAAAGCTCTTGTGCACTCTTCAAAGACAGAGTGAAGTGTCCGGTCTGGACAGTATTTAAATGCAGTGCAGCGATTAAATCAGCTTAGACACACAGTCTACACAGTGAGATGTGCGACTCTGTGTTCTGTGGGTGATGGAACTGGCGGCAGAACCAAATGCTTTGGACACATTCAGATTCAGTCTGGGCAAACCATCGACCGTAGTAAGGCAGTGTGAGTGTGTGTGGCAGTCAATTAACAAGTGCACAAGTTGAGCCGTTCATTAGCGTACGAGGCCGACCGAGGAACACGATGCTCGGCACAGCGGCTCACCAGCCGCACCATTTCCGTGCATTCGATGCTTCATTACGGCTATTGACACAAATTGTGATTTATGATGTCCATGGCGCACTGCCTGGGCGCACTACCACTAGCACAACGCTTGTACACGCTTGCTTCTTTCATTCTTTGCTGACAAAAAAATGTATTTTTCTAATTTGACTGCTGTCAAATCTTGCCGAAAGTGTGATTAATTGTCAATTTTCTAGGGAAACTAGCATTAATTATGGGAAATGTAAAGATTTGATTAAAATTTGTCTTACCGCAACATTCGATCTGCCTCTAGTCAGTGGTAATTTTATGTGAACAGATAGTCACAAAGAAACAACACTTATTTATACTACCCAGTAAAAAACAGAATTACAATTTTTAAAATATTTTTGTTTTTACAGAACAAAACGTCCTTTTTCAAGATATCAACGACCTTCTGTTCACTCCCATGTTTGGCGCCTTAATAGGTGCACTCATTTCATTTTTTGTACTTTGTTTCGCCATTGGAGCTTTTTTAAGACACAGATTTTGTCACACCAGACGACAAATTGTCACCAAAGGTATAGTTGAACAAAAACAAATTATTTTTCCTTTTAAATTATTTCATTATATTTTTCCCAGATACTTCCGTTTCAAATGGAGGTAGCAATGGAGGTGGTGGTAGTGGCAACACTGCCAACACTGCAACAGACTCCACTGAAGCACTTAAAGAGAGCTACAGTGTGGCTCACTCCTCGACGATGCACTCAATTGATGAGTACATTCTCCGATCTCAGTACCCGGCCGGACAGGCGGCACTGAACAGTCAGACTTATTATCGCTTTCAGCCGCACTCTGGCACTTTGCCACTGCTGCAGCACTCACATGGTCTGCTCAGCAGCGCCAGCCACAGCAACACCTCTGACATGGCACTCACCGAGATGTCCCTAGTGAATGGCGGTGGTGGTGGCGGCGGTGGTGGCGGCCAGATGGAGACGAGCAGCTACTACTCGGCAAGCAATCCCACCTATCCACCAGATCCGAGTGCTATACTGCACCACGCACAGCAGACACCAAGTGACCTTATGACGAATGCGTTCACCTACAACGTCAACAGCTCAACTGCCTCGGCAGGCCTCTACCCCATCTCCACTGGTCTGGTTGCAATAGCCAACAGCAATGCCAATCAACACCAGCATCAACATCAACATCAGCACCAACATCAGCATCAGCGGACTTACACTGAGATTGGCCAGTGCGGCCCCGTGAATGGTGGCAACCCTGGCTCCGACCTGCCACACCACGTGACGACGCTGGGCCCCATGCTCGGCTGCCTGGACAGTCTCTCCTCGTCGACATCAGACAAAACGGCCGAAGAGGACGATGAGTGGCACCTGCCGAAGCACCACACCATGATGCTCACTCGAAATGGCCCACTACCTCAGCACACGCAGTCATCCCAGCAGCCGTACTTGACCTATGTACGCTCTAATGAGGTCAGTTGAGCCCAGTCTTCCATCTTCAGGTGCCATAGTCTCATTTGTGTTTTGTCTCTTTCCGTCCCTCTCAGTCGTGCCTCTCCTCTTCAGCGACCACTACCTCATCTCCCAGTCGGACACACGTACCCAAGGTGCAGTTTTCTGATGTGAACCCCGGGTCCCCTTCGAAGATCACCGCCGTAACGAGTGTGTAATGTCGCCTGCCAAATGTGTATCATATATGCCAGTGTACATGTGTAAATAGTAATTTGTAAATGTCTGTAAATAGAAGCCATTGGCCTCGCCTCGCTGTGACTGGCATCGTTGAATGGTGCCCAAATAAAACTTTATTTTCTTCTAATCTCACAAAGAAGGCAATGTCTTTTCTTTCTTTTTCCCCTTTTCTCTGTGTTTGGGTGTGTAGTCGTTGTATTCTTGAATGCCTTTTCCGGAAGTGGATTTTCTTTCCGCTTTGCTTAGAATTGTGCATGTGTGTGGTTGTGTGCCCTCTGCGGTTATGTGGCTTTGTCATAATAATGCAAATATGCGACACATCCTCCTTCTGGTCCGCAANCTTTGCTTAGAATTGTGCATGTGTGTGGTTGTGTGCCCTCTGCGGTTATGTGGTTTTGTCATAATAATGCAAATATGCGACACATCCTCCTTCTGGTCCGCAAAGTCTTATCAGTCGGTGTGCACTTTCATTAGTCAATTGCACGACGACATGGGATGCCTCCGCTCTGTCTTACGCGCTGTCTTTCATTCTTCTTATTCTATTTCTTATTCAGTCTTGCTTTCTTTTCCCGCATTGTTTTTGCCTTGTTGCCTTTTAGTTGACGCTTGCTTTGTTGTGCTTAGTCGGTCTCGTTTGGCTCAATGACTGCTGCTGCTGCTGCTCTTNAGTCTTATCAGTCGGTGTGCACTTTCATTAGTCAATTGCACGACGACATGGGATGCCTCCGCTCTGTCTTACGCGCTGTCTTTCATTCTTCTTATTCTATTTCTTATTCAGTCTTGCTTTTTTCCGCATTGTTTTTGCCTTGTTGCCTTTTAGTTGACGCTTGCTTTGTTGTGCTTAGTCGGTCTCGTTTGGCTCAATGACTGCTGCTGCTGCTGCTCTTCGGGCCGCTTTGCTGTTTGCTCTTTGCCTCCTCGGCGCATTCTTCTTGTTCGTCGTCTAGGCTCACAACTGCGCCCTTCTGTCACAACACTTTTCCTTTTCATTCCGATTTAATTTTTTTATCTCCATTTCTATCTGTCTTTTTTTTGTTTCTCCGGAAAACGGAAGAGGAAACGATGAAACGATGAAGGATTAAAATGTGTAAATAACTGCACACACGACGTCGCTTCAATGGGGTGCACCATCACTCGCATCTCTTTGATGTCTCCCTTTCTCTGGATGCTTTATTCACCGCAACGTCATACTTTCCACTCACTTGCTCCAAGTAGTTTTGCCTGCTTTTGAAGACAGAGTCACTGGACTAAGAAGCATTGCCCTGCCATTGAGCGCACCCTGCTGCCCATTCGATCGTCCAAATGGTGTCGATAGGAGATGGTGTCATCCTCCTTCCTCTTACAAGTTTTGTCAGAGTGCTCATTCTCATCCTTTTCTTCCGTTGTATGCCTCTCTACTAGACCTCTAGGATGGCCCGAGTTCATAATAATAGGCCTAATCTAGATTATGGCCAATAAATTAGCATATGGACTGTGACAGAAATGAATCATAAAATCTATCTGGCTTTCAGTGTGCCCTCTTGTGCCTACTCTTTGCCATCGTTTCTTCTGCATTATCATCTACATTCGTTCGAACAGATTCCGCAAACCACTTTTAATTGTCTGAGTATAATACATTTATACATTTCACTATACTATCCTCTTCCTCTTATGCATCGTATTACTTGCTGCGCGATTACCATTATTTCGGTTATTAGTGGCCGTATTGAAAGTGTCCATTAGCACTGGTACCCTTGCTACCGCTTTCTAAATAGCACAAAGTCTTTTTGCCATTGTCGCCATCGTCTTCAATCGATATTACATTTTTTCCTAGTGATGCCATTTCTTGGCACTTTCTTAATTTAGAACATTTTTTTGTCAAAATGCAAGCTAATTGGTCCTACCATGCAATGTTGAATCTATCTACGTTGTAAATATTTGAAATCACTGGTAAAACAATTTTTTAACTGTTTAAAATGTTTCCCCCTCCCCTTGTGTGATCTTTTAGCTCCAATTTATTTAATACAAGACAGACATTTTCCATTTGCTCTGCTGTTTCTGTCGTAATGTTTATATTAAATTTTTATAAAATATCCTGTAGTTGGAATTTATACTTGTTTATTGCATAATGTCCCTTTGGAGAGTTGCCTTTATATCGCGAATGGCAGAGGACGGTGGTGCAGTGCACTTGACAAAACGCTTTGCCCTGTGCACTTTCTCTCTTTTTGTGCTTTTTGTGTGTCTGTTTCTGAGTGAGCCATAGCCGTAAATAATAACAAAACAGCAATAATACTCGGCAATCAGAAAAGCTATATATGTTTGCTACTTGATTTCTACTGCTTTTCTACTGTCCCTTACGGTGCTAAGAGCCGCCACACCGCGAACAAGTGTCGTTCTAGCAGTCCTTTTCTCTCGGAAGTAGCATTTACTTTGTTTTTAATTAAGACTTGTGCCGATAATGCTCCTTTGCAACCGGTAATGAGAGAGAGAGAGAGAGAGAGAAAGAGCAGTAGCACAATGCTTGCCTTTCACAGAAGCAGCTTTTTGTTTGTTGGTAGTAATTGAGGCCCTTACTACCTACGCCAACAACCTCGCTTTACGCACTTGCACCCTCTGTGAGTTGAAATGTTTAAATAGAATTCAGTTTCAAATTTAAATGACGGGATTGACAGCCGTTGACGTCAACAATAATTGCAGATAGTGCTGCTGAGCAATGGTTAGGACGGAACTGGATGGTGGCAGACTAGCTTTCACTTTGTTTGGCTAGGCCTTCATGCTATGTTTGCCTCCTTACAACACAGGGGTGAGAAAGAGAGAAAACTCGTCTTGTCCTTTCGATTAGTCTCGGACATGTGTCAGGAATATTAATAGCAAATTAATTTGCTTGTCGCACAGTGCACGTAGTTTTCTCTTTGGCTGCAAATTTAAATTTTCGATATATATATTTGCGGCCAGGCAAATTGGAAATGGAACAGTACTTTTCTGTGCAGTACTGTCCACACTCTCTGTCTGTCAGCGATAAGACAATGCCGCCAATTACTATTATCGGCGCAGAACCCTGAGCAGAGTTGCAAGTGCTCAGAATATGACTGCCTTGTGAAGCTCACTGAATTTACAGCAGATTGACATTTGGGGGAGTAAGGGGGAGAAACCACTATTGCTTGGTGACAAATTCAGTTTGACATTTTTATTTATTTGCATTTTGTGCATTAGATTTTATTGACTTTAAAACAAAATTTGATTTGTTTGTTCTTTGCACTACTCTCAATGAATTTGTTATGGCTAGTATGGAAATTAACGTTTGTCTGCAAACTGCACTTTGTCTAGCAATTCCTACCCACATTATCAATATTGATAAACAATTTAAATTTACTGTGCGACAAAGTATCAGAAAGTCAGCTAAGGGACACTTTTAAAAGCGTATTGAAAATGGTAGGTTAATTTACCTATGTACCTCTAATCATTTTTTATTTGATAAGCAGTGATTACACTTTTGCTCCTCTCAACATTGTGCTGAGAAAAGAGTTTATACTTCTGTAAAGTAGACCTCACTCATTGACAGCTGCATTAAAAAGACATAGTGGAGACATTTGCTAATACACAACTACAAATAACAACCTTTAATAATAGAAAAATGTTCTGATCAATTTTTAAGGGATTTGGGATAACAAAGTGGGCAGTTCTAAAAATTATTATCACTAGAAAGCCTCATTATCATTTAGCTG